GTTTTAGCCTGGATGGGGAGAGTGTGGCTTCTGCTGCATCCTTTAGGCTATAGCGAGTTGCAGGTCCCACCCAGAGTCAAGGGGTCGACACAGGGCAAACTGTCCAGAGGACTTTATCAGGGTCCTCACGTAAAGCCCTCAGTGAGGAATCTGACTTGTAGTAGGTACTCAACAAATGTTACTCCCTGTAGTTATTCTTTGTCATTATTATTACTAAGAATAATACAAAACTAGGGCAGTAGGGAAAACAAATTGTTAGGATTTATATTGACATCCATCAGTTGGCATGATAGCAAATCCATCTTCAGGATTTGGGAGATTATGGGCACACTTGAGCTTAGCATTATCTGAGTCAGAAGGTGAGAACTAGAGGCTACTAGAGGTCAGAATAACCCTGGCACTGGATGAGATGACCAGAAGGCACTACATGCTCATTCTAGAAAATGTGGAACTGCAGGCAAAAATATCAAAAGAAGAATCATCTGTCATTCTCTCAGAGACAACTACTGTAATATTTTGGTTTCTTTCCTTCCAGTATTTTTTCTATGCATCATGCACATAAATATTTAATAAAACTAAATCTATATATTTAATAATACATTTATAAATATATACTTATATTTATAAATATAAATATATTTTTAATATATACTTAATAAAATTAAGATAATGTATATAGTTTACATGTTGCATTTTATCACTTAATATTAAGTTGGGAACATTTTTTATGTTTTTTAATACTGAGTTGTAATGGCTATATTCTCTGTATTTATTTTCCAAGTTTAATCTACAGTAATACACAGCTTGGTGAATTTCTACATGTGCATGCACCTATATAAGTCCACTACTCCAGTTGGAGTTATGGAATCCTGTGGTCTCTCCCAGTCCATAACCTTCTCATTTTCACTAATTGACCCCCAATTTATTTATGTAGTCCCCTATTACTGGACACTTAGGTTGCTTCCACTCTTTTGCCCTTATAAACGATGCTGCTGTGAACTCCATCACTACATACATGTTGGTCTGCTTCTGATTGCTTCCTTTGGATACATTTCTGGAAGTTTTGAAACCCTAGGTCAGAGGTTATGAACAGCTGAAATGCTGCCTCCTTGTCGAACATCTTTTCTGGTCCTCCTGTCCCAAATTCCTCCCCATCCCCATCCCTTGGGGCTCCTGCACCTTGTGCGGACAGTACAATTAGAGTATTTTATTAATGGGCCCCCAACCCAATTCCAGTGTTTGGCTTCAAAACTAGATCCTCAGGAGCAGACTTTATTCATCTTTGTATCTCCCTACTTGGAGGCCCAATAAAAAGTGAGTTGTCCCATCTATCTTTGAAGCCCTTCCTAAAAGCAGGGCATTTCAGGGACTTTTCAAAACCAGTTGGACTTGATTATGCTTTTAGAGTAAACGGGACTTGCTACAAAGCCAAGCAGAACTCTGAAACCCATCTCTAGATAATTCTGAAATTGTCGATCTGTTGAATGAATTAATATGAGAAAGTTTTTATTTTAATTTCTACCAGACTGTTAATTTCTACCAGAGCAAACATATGGGTCAAAACTGGGTGGTGGATTTGCTCACATTTGTTTTTCCTGTTAATCACTGGAGCCCTCACATACACTATTGGTGTAAGTCCAGTAATTTCCTCTAAATTGCCCACCTCCCAGGGGTTTGTGTGGAAAAGGGCACAGCTGCTTTCACGTCAAGAATGAGTCTGCCCACTGTGTTTCTGCTGTTGCCCCTTGCCACCAGGTGATGTCACTTTTGAAGACTTGTCCTGTGTAGTTCTGGGAGTCAGCCTGCTCATAGCTGCCTTCTGTGATGCCCCTTGCTTGTTTAGCAAGGGAGGAGGAGTCCACTCCTCCTGCCAAGATAGCCTGGGCATACTCTGCACTCAGGCTCCTGAAACTACCTTCTCTGCCACTTTCATGGCAAAAGCAAGCCACGGACTCAGAGCCACTTCCTCTCCCTAATCATTGGAGTCCATCTCGCCAAGGGATGAGGTAGCTTTCCAAGGCATTCCAAACACAAAAGATCTTGTCCTCTCTAGACAGTGGACCTAGGGCAGGGGTCCCCAACCCTTGGGTTGTGGACCGGTACCAGTCCATGGCCTGTTAGGAACCAGGCCACACAGCATTAGGTGAGTGGCAGGTGAGTGGTAGATGAGTGAGTGAAGCTTCATCTGTTTTTGCAGCCACTCCTCAGCACTAGCATCACCGCGTCAGCTCCATCTCAGATCAGGCATTAGATTCTCATAGGATCACCTGTCCCTGGTGCCAAAAAGGTTGGGGACTGCTGACCTAGGGCACTCTGTACCTAAGTAATTTAAGGAACAGATCATTGGGGAAGAACCATTACACCATGAGGATTTACTTTGAGCCTGACCTTTGCATGACATTTCAAGTATCTTCTTCAAAGCAGAAAGTTGACTAGGTGAACTGCAATATCTATCATGGACCTAAGAGAAGCTGCTTATATTTTCAAGACTCCCATTCAGTGGCGCTCTTTCTTTACCATGACAAACATATTTTGTATATACAGTAAGCCCTCAGTGTTGTCAATAGGTTCTGTGGCTTAAAGCAAAACAACATGTAAGACCAGTTTTAGCATAGGCTAATTGATACAAACAAGAGTTAAGTTTCTATGGCATCTCATTGTTATAAGGAAAATATTTTATTACAACGTAATTTGAGGACCTACTGTATGTTAAATGTGGAATAAAACTATATAGCTGTGTGTGTCTATGTGCATCCTCCTATAGCAAGTATTTACAAGATGTAATATTTTTTTCATTAACTATTGAGCCCCTACTGTGTGCCAGGTCTGTGGAACTGAACTATGTGTGTCTGTGTATACAGCTACTGTGTATCTGTTTGATAAGCATTTTTCTATCTCCACGAGGACACAGTTGCATCAGTGCCCTTGTGGAACTCAGTCATCTTAATGTTTCCTTAGTTTAAAAAGAGCAGGTAAGTTGCGTGTTTTCCAGAATTTTCTTAGATAACCTGAACCATGCAAAACAAATTGCATATTTCTGTATAACCTTTGATTTAAAAAATAGGATATTGGACATATAGTTAGAAATTTAAAAGAGAGGCAAGGCCAGATTATACTTGGGAGAGAGCTTATTTTGCTTATCTAAAGTGAGATAATATCTCCAAGTGGGCAGGATTCCAACTTGGACCATATACACAAAGTACCTCATTCTAAGAAAGAGAGTGACTAAAGAAGTATTTTGCCTGTGTTTATTTTCTCCTACAAGTGTGATGTAAAACTTTTCACATGTGCAGAAGCAAAAAGCCACAAACACGTGGGGAAACAGCCGTTTTTGCAAATAAAAATGCTTCCCAGAAGCATGACAAATGAAAGACTAACAGGTGTAGTGCAGATCCAAGGCGGACATGTGGTTCTCATCAGCTGCCTCTCCCGTTTTAAACCTTAGTCTTCCTGTAACAACGCAAAGTTTTTTTCTCCTGCGGCTGTGGCTAATAATCCACTCAAGCCCGCCTTTCCACCCCTTTTCTCATAACAGTATTTCTAACAGAGCTTCCAGAGAGGAGAGAGCAATGAATGAAGGCAGTAACGGGGGAGGAGGTGGGAGATGGGATGGGGGGGAGCCCTTAGACTTGACATTAGCAATTCTGGGTTTGACCTATAACTCTGGGTGACTTTGGGTCTCAGTTTCCTCTGAGAAATGTTTGGTTCAGAGAACGAGGGTTTCAGTTTTCCAGCCTCTCTACGCCAAGCAGGGTGTAAGGGTCTTTTTAAACCAGTGGTTCTCAATGGGGGTGACTGTGCCTGCCAGGGGACATCTGGCAATGACTAGAAACATTTTTGGTTGTGTCCACTAGAAGAGAGGGTGCTACTGGCATCTAGACCAGGGATCCTGCTACAATGAACAGGACAGCCCCAAATGTCACTGGGGCACAGGTTTGCAACCTTGGAGTCGGCTCACGGACTATCTTGGGGCTTTCCCAGCTGGGATGGCGGCTCTTCTGAGAGGCGCTTCGTGGTCTTCTGTTTTCGGGACTCGGGCCAGCGAGTCGGGGCAGACTCCCGCCCGCTGGAGTGGAGAGGGACGGAGCGTCCCTTGGCACGCCTCGGTTAAACCCTGACGCGCGCAGCATCACAACGTGGACATCTGTCTCCCTCACCCCAAGAACGCCGAGCAAGGGGCTGAGAGGAACCCTAGGCTCGGAAAACTTGGCAGCTTCTCCCTCCCGCGACCCCCGGGACCTGTCAGCGCGGTGGAAGCTTCCCCCGCTCACCGAGGAGGGGTCCTGCGCCTCCCACCCCCCCAATCCCCCGCGTTGAGGCGGCGCCCGCAGCGTTGAGTCCAAGGACTCCGCGCGCACCGCGCATTTCCGTGGGGAACGTCAGCCCCTGACCTAGGCAGGGGCGGGGCCTCCAGGCGGCGACCGTTGCCCCGCCCAACCGCCGCCCAACGGCTCCCTAGGGCCGGTGGTGGGGCCAGACTGCGCGGTGGGTGAGTGCGCCTGTGCGCGCGTGCGTAGAGGCGCGGGGCGTGGCCCGCACGTGGCCCCGCCCAGGTCCGGCGTCTCCGGCCGCCCCATCTCCCAACCTCCTCAGCGTGGCGCCGACGCTGCGTGCGGCGCGGGTTACCCAGAGTGCTCCGCGCCGGGGCAGCTCACTAGAGTTTGGTTCTCGAGGCGGCGGCAGCAGCGGCTGCGGCTCCGGCGGCTCCTCCTCCTCCGGTGGCGGCGGCGCCCCGGGCCCGAGCCCAGGCTCCGGCTCCCCTCTCTGCCACCCCGCGCGGCCCCTCCTTCCCTGGCGCCGCGGGGAACATGAGGCTCCGCTCCCAGAGGCCGGCGAGTGAGTGACCCCCGTCCCCCGCCTCAGCCTGCCTGCCCGCTGGCCCGGCCGCTCCCCCCCGCCTCGCCCAGGCAATGACAGCGGCTCCGGCGTCTCCGCAGCAGATCAGGGACCGGCTGCTGCAGGCCATCGACCCCCAGAGCAACGTAAGTACCCGCCGCGCGGGCCGGGACCGAGGCCTCGTGGGCCCGGGACCCTCCCCCTTCCAATGCCCCTCACTCTCAGGGCTCCCGGAGACCCGCCCGGGGCCCACCACTCCCCGAGGGCCGCTGCCATCCCGGCCTCTCGTCCCCCGGGCCCGGACCAGGGTAGGTCGGGCAAACCGGCGGCGCTCGGTACGTGAGGCCGAGGCTTCCGTGCGGCCTGGGCGGAGGGAGCAGACGGGAGTTGATGCCAGAGCTTTTTCTTCCCTCCCGCTCCAGCTCTACGACCCCTGCTGCTCCTGACGGAGCTTATCCGCCTCGCCCTTCCCCCGAGACCCGAGACCCCCCGGGAAGCCCTCCTGGCGCGGGGGAGGGGAGGGAGAAAGGCTCTGGAGCAACTGGTGTCCGGAGTTGACTCGGGGAGCCGGTGCTGCCCGTTTCTTGGCTTTCTGGGTGATCAGGGAAGTCCTCCTCTCTTCTCCTGGCTGGAAGCACCTTGGCTTTGGAGAGAAACCCCAGCCTGTTTTTCCCCTAGCCAGGTGCCCAGGGTGTGCGGAGAGGCCCCCTTGGTTCTGCGAGTGGACATACCTTTGCCGGATCCCTTTTGGGGTCGTTGCGGACGGAAGATGATCTTGGGGAGGGTGGGATCCTTCATGTTGCCTTTCTGGGCCTAACTGCCCATTGCGTCTCTAACCAAGCCAGAGCCCCGCTTTGTGGTAGGGAATTAGAGGTGATTGTTATCTCTCTCGCTCCCCCAAAAGCTCTGTTTTAGCTGACCCTTCCCCCCACCTGAGGGTTCTAGCCTGGTGGTCTGTGACCTAGATGGTCAGAGTTAACCCCAGGGTGTCACTCTCTCAGATAACCCTCTACAGAGGTTTCTGCACTGCTCCCTTTCGTGGGTGTAGGGGAAGACTTATCGTGTTTTCATATATTCTCCAAGGGTTTGTCGGCGATAGGGGTCATTTTCCCCTGTGGCAGGAGCAGGTTGAGCAGTAGGAAGATGGCATCCAGGTATGAAGCGAGCCCCTGCATTTGCTAGGAGACAAGGAAGTGGCCATCGAGGTCACTTTTTAACATGTTGGGAATGGAAGGAAAAATCGTCTTTAGCAATTTTGGTAGAAATTGAGGAGTTATGATCTTTGTGAGGCTCTGATTTCTGTATCATAAGTAATTCTCTTATCCTGGTTTTCAGGCCCCATTAAGATTGACTTGTTGGAAATTGCCTTTAACAAATATTGTATACATTTTCGTTAGGATTTTGGGGGCGGAGTAGGCACAAGCTATATAAAACCTCCCACAATTTTTGCAGTAACTGGTGCCGCTGCAATTCTTAAGACTGAAATATTAAAGGATAAAGCAAGTAACATGAAAAATGTAGCCTTGATGATTTTTGCATCTTTTGTTGAGTCAGAGTGCAATTCTTGAATTCCACATGCTTGCTTGTCTTCAGGAAAATCTGAGAGTAGTTGAGATTTTAGCACTGATCCTTAATGCCACCTAGGAGAGCTTTGGGATCAGAAGGTGCTTTGACAGGTAGTCATGATGTTATAGATTAGATGGGCAGCGACCTCAGGGGTTCCAGTGTTGTGTAAGGCTCTATTCTAGAGGGTTCTTAGGAATAGAGGAGGGAGAGGAGGAAGAGAGGCTGACCAGAAGCAGGAGGAGGGAACAAATCTCGGCTTCATGTATCCTGGCATGTGCAAAAACATTACATTCATATGTGTCCATGGCTGTGTTATGTGGCATGGAATTCACGTTTCATGTGGCTTGCTTTGGAACTCTAGTGATAAGTGTGCATAGAGTCCTACTAACATAAGTGTGGTAGAATTAGGAAATTGTCGCTTTGAATATGAACGATAAGGAAAGTGCCTCCTTTAAATGCTGCCTTTGTTGGTGTCCATGAACATTGTTAATAGCCATTTGACTGGAGTGTGGCTTGGAACAAACCTCATACAGAAATTCAGAGCTGTGGCAGAATAGGGTGCTGGTAGAGAAGGTGCATCCAGAAGGCTGCAGTTTCTCACGATTCACTTGGGCCCAGGTGAGAGCAAGGTGGCTCCAACAAGCCATTGCTGCTGCTCAGCTACTCTTTGCTGCTTTGCCCAATTATGCACTCCACTTCTTGGTAGTTAGTTGACACATATTTAAGATGCTCATGGAAAAAAAAATGGGGACAGAGTTGAAGAGCCAACACTAAAATTAATCCTCTTCTGAGAGAAGCGACAGAGAATTGTGTCATGTAATGCTTACCTTATGGATATGCAATTATGATTAATAAACAGCTTTTACTTGAAAAGTCAATGTCAGACAGCTGACCTAATAATATCCACAAGTATTTGAAAAGTTGGGGAAGTAACAAAGTAACATTTACTAACCATTTTCTTGACAAAGGAGTTCTTAAGAGAAAAGTTGTTTTTTTGCTCTAAATTCTAGCCTCTGGAGTATTTGAATTTCTATAGCAGCAAGCTCTGAGTTAATTTCTGCCAACTCAGTGCTGAAGTAAATCCTGGACACTCCTTTTTAGAAAACAACTAACAGTTTTTCAGAAGTCAAAGTCTTACTCTTCTCATGGTGTGTGTCAGCCCAGAGTGGAGAAAATGTTTCTGAAGTGCAGTGTGCACATTTGTTGCAGCTCAATCTTGGTTCATTATGGATAAAGTTGAGGGCGCTGTCTCTCTCGCCCAGAAATCAGTCAGTCCACCCCAGCACAGTCTCTTCAACAAGTGATTAGGTTCTCATTTGTATGGGGCACTCCTCGTTTCACAGAAGTTTGGGCTTTGTCTTCCTGACCAGAACGTAGGCTTGGTGAGCACTGTCTGTTTCTCATCTTCTCTCTCTAGAGCAGAAGCATTAAGCCTACCTTCTAAGTACTGATTAATCCGATACCCCTAGAATCTTTCTTGGACCTAGACTAAGGAGCTACATTTGAACCTCCTTTTACCCAAAGGGTGAAAAACAAAAAGCCCTTTCGTGATGGCTGTAGGCTTCGGAATTCAGTCGTAGAATAGTCTAATGCAGAACTCTGTAGAGCCGTGAGGAACACGAATGTTCCTCTGGCGTCTGAGAAAAGGTATGACTGAGGTGGTGGAGCGGGTATTGACTGCATCCCCATGACAAGTTGAATAACAGCACAAGGCAGGCCTTGCTCAAGGCAGGAGAGTCCCTATGTTCAGAGCAGAGAGAGGCCAGAGAAGACACTGCTGGGAAGAGGGACTTGATCTCGCCCTGGATAGCAATGTAAATGCCTTCCCTAGGTCAGCCTCTCCAGCAAGAAACCTCAGAAACTACTTTCTTCCTCGCAGATCTGCAGACATCAGGTGCCAAGGGAAGGTGACCAAGGGGCTTCTGAAGAGAGACACATGCAAAGGGGTAATTTTCCCACCTAGGAATTTGAAAGTTAAGGCACTGCTTAGCTTTGCTGGATTTCTCACCTGCAAAGTGGGACTAGGAACTGGAGTTCATGCCCCGTGAAGCTCCTTCCCGATCCAGAGCTTGGTTATGGAAGGGGCAGCTGAGGCTAACATGTATTGTTCTAGAACTTTTTTCCTTTTATTGCAATGTGCAATAAAATAACAAAACTCTACACAGAGATACACACTTCAATAACTTCGTGCAGCACTTTGTCAGCATCACCTGTTTTCCTCCCAGTGGCCCTGTAAGGGAGGTGGGCTGGTCTCCTCTTGCTGCACAGTGACAGGTGCTGCTTAGTGAGTATCTCCTGTGGCCAGGAGAGGACAAGATACTTTTGTTTTTTACTGACTTCTTATTAGGTGACTGCCCCAACGTTAGAGACTTACCCAAAGTTTTTAAGTGACATGCTTTCAGCTCTAAATACCACTGCACTGCTCTCAAAGATGGAGGGATGGCTTCTGAAGAGGCCTAAGAGGCCAGTGTCTTTGAGCTGGTTAAAAAAGGTGTGGGAACCTCTTCTATCCCTCGCAAGGTTATTTGTGATTCTCAATTGGGCTAGATTTACCTGTGATTGATCTAACATGTTGACAGTATTAGGTGGCCTGTCCTGGAAGCATCTTAAGGTTTCTGTCAGGGACAGAATCCTGTGCCAGACTACACTGTGGTGTGGCAGCTGTCAGCTGACATGGAACTTTTCATGAGTCTTGTATTCCAGTTTTGTTTTCTGCTTCCAGATTACAGCAATTTGATGTTAACTTAAAACACCACTGATCTTGCTGGAAAGAGGACTCAAAAATTGTAAAATGGAACACTGTTAATTCTGATTCTTTCCGGCATATTAGAGGATATGAAATCTAAACATGTCTCTGCCTGATGACGCTGTTGCCCAAATTCAGTGTCATTCCTATCTTTGCTCTTTATACTGTGGCCAGGGTCCGTGAGGAGAGCAGCGTTTTATGACTGTGGGAAATAGGTAGGTAACAAGTGTCTATTGTGAAGCAGGTCTGTATCCTTGTTGTGACTTTCTCTGAGAAGAAGGTAGACTTCACATTCAATCTTCACAGAGGTCTCTGGGCAGTCTTTAATCTGAGTATGCTGTCCTGGCAGGAAGTCACAGAGGCCTGGAAGACTGTCCAAGATCAGCTGTGGGAAGGGGCTTTTGTCCTTATACAGTTTTAAAAAGTCACCATAGTCACCTGGCCTCCTGGGGTCAAGATGCAGCTGTGTGTGGCAGGACACACCACAAGGGTGTCACGCTCAGGGTTAGATGAAGGAGGTGGGCTGTACTCGCCTGTGCCTTGATTTTTGTGTCCGTGTCGGAATCTTCTCAGATGGAGCTCCAGTGTTAAACTGGAGAACCAGGCCCCAGCCTGACCTCTAGGTTGACTGTAGCCCTGTGTGTGTGTGTGTGTGTGTGTGTGTGTTGGCGGGGGGTGGGGGGACTGCCCAACCCTCCACTGTAAATTGCCTTCTAGAAGCTGGAGGCTTTGTCTCTGTCAGTAGAATTTGCGCCTTTTTTTTTTTTCTTTAATGCCTGGTAGTGGGCTGTCCTGAGTTTACGTGGTTCTTTG